AAAAAAAAAAAAAAAAAAGAAAAAAGAAAAAACGGTGGCCAATACTGCGAACACCCCGTGTATACAGAGCAGTGAGAAACCGCAGGTCGTACAAGTATATTTACCCTCGGTGGAGGGGCGATTGTATAACATGATCAGCACCCGGTGCACGCCTATAACGTTTTGATTATAGGGCACTCGCATTTGACTCCGTTAAACCTGATGCCGGGGATTTGGTTGGAACTCGTGCCGACTTCGAATCGAACCAATCATTGCCAGCCCGTGATATCGAAGTCGCAATGTTCGCGCCCAGCGTTAAACCGCTTACACTAACGAATACGTTATAACCGCGTTGCATTAAGATGCCGCTCGGGTTGAGTAACGAGTCAATCGATATATACGGCCGAGCATATCGTCGCTAATCGAAGCGTCTCCATTTCGATTCCTCCCATTTGATTGCCGAGTTTATTTTATCCTTTACACGCCGTAAAACACCTTACACACCGTGCTTCCTCCTTCGTTCGTTCGCGTTTCGATACAAGGTGATCCAAAAATAAGCGAAAAATGTTATACGAATTTTTATGATGAGCTTCGTAAACTCATGGATAGGATAGATCTATTGTAATTAATCTTCAATTGTGTACTTACAAAGTGGATTATTCGAGAAATATCTGATAATATCGAGACTCGATGTAAAGACACTATTTTAAAATTGACACTATTTTAAAATTAATGGAAATATGATTTTGTATGATATATTTTTTTTTACCTATTATATTTCAATGCCCGAATCCAAGTATGCCTATCGATCAATAGTTCCTCGATGTAACGATTAAAGATTTCTCAAACGGGATTATTTTTTTCCCCAAGATATCGAGATCGATACAAACCGTGACACGGTTTATTTGCGCCCCCTCTACTCGTTTTAATACATCTCGTGGATGATATACGCCGAGTTCGTGCACGAGTAAATAACCCAGGCAGGAAGAAATCTTACGATCGTACGTGTTCTTTCCGCGCAATTATTTATGCGAAAATAGGGCTCCGGTGAAAAATAAAAAACAGCGACGCTGTATCCTGGGCACAGGCTCACAATCGTACAAAAGGTATCGAACTTAATCGTGGATGTCGATCCAGACGCGCATTGGATTTAATTCGAGCGTGAGCTACTACCTGAAACGGTGCACAACCGAGCAGCTAATCAACGTGCCCGTTTTCCCTTCCGTGTGTATTTACAGTACTGTCGATTCCTTCTCAGCCTCGATATTCCTGCTCGTATGCAGCTTTGCACACCAGGCTACGTATACACACAGAGCGTAAATATCCTGCACCGGGTATTTGTACACTTTCCTATACATTTATCGTTTCCTGGCTCGTCTGCGAATTGTAAACCGCTTGATTGTAAACCGTTGTCACGTGTATACACGTCGTGACCCATTTACCCATCTCACTTTTTTTCCTCTTTTAAATTCAACGAAACTGACACGCGACAGTTTGATTCGATCGTGGAATATATATAATTATTGCGTAAAATTATTTTTCTTTTAGTTTAGAAGGTTTTCACGAGAAAGTTCGTCGATCGTATTATTCTGCGAAGAAAGGAAGGGGGATGGAAAAACGATTAAACGAAATAAACGAATATTCTCGGGGAGGATATACATTCACGCAAGAAGATATTTCCGCAGTTGTTCCACGATATGTATTTATGAACGATTCCAGAATGGGTATAGAAACGAAATCATTCGTAATAGTCGATGTGATGGAGTCGAGTAGAGGGCTGATCGAACTCGAGCCTTTGATTATATTCCATTCCACTGTTCTGGATTTCCCTTCAATTTACCAACGGGGGGATTAAGTACGTTTCTCTTCATAATAACGGAACCAGCCAGATGTGCAATTGATAAAAAAAAAAAAAAAAAACGTTCGAGATTACGCGGCGGATAAAGAAGTTTTCAAGAAACTTTATAAGATCTATCTTATAATCTATTTAACGATTCGTATTGACAATAATACGAATGATAATTTAATTATCAATAGCACTTTCATGGATAACGTATCGTTTCAAATGAATCGAGAATCCACGCGATGTTGAACGTTCATTGTACCACCACGCGATCTCTGATTACAATATTAAAACGGAATATCGTAAAATCTGCACGCACACGTGCTCCTCGTGCCAACAAGAGGATTTTCTCCCTCGATCCCTTGGGATCTCTGCCATTTCCCAACGACTTGTTCCGCGTCTCCATTCTTCAGCGACGCGGGTAGGCAAGAACG